ACTTTACAACTTAACAGATAATAACGAAATAAAATAATTTATATTTAACTGCAGCACTAAGGTTTGTTTAACTTAATTATTTTTTTTTAAATAATTTCTTCTATAAAAATAAAATAGACGGAGTAAACGAGTTCTTGAGTGGAGACCACGGGTCGGCAAACGTAGTGTAGGACGTACTCAGACTTGGTGGAGCGATGATATTCGCAGGGTACCTGGCCAGAGCTGGATGAGAGTGGCCGAGGATCGTGCTCAGTGGCGTGCCATGGGAGAGGCCTATGTCCAGCAGTGGACTAATATAGTGGCTGATGATGATGATGATAAAAATAAAGTTATCAACAAACTTGTATTAGGAATAAGGAAAATATGTTTTTAACATTAAAATATTTATATGGGAATAATGTGATATTAGCAATAACACCGGATTCGACTACTGAAATAAAATATGGAGGCGAGCGACCGCTGATAACAAAATCAAGGACAAAGCATGTTACTGTGCTCGTGACATTGACCAATGGACAATGGACTATCATTTGTCAAGGAATTAAAATACCCCAGATTTTTTTATTAATATATTAATTAAATTAAGATTATATAGCATTTTATTTCAATAATGGATAATAAAAAAACAGTATTATAAAATGTCCTATCGTTACTTCGTACAAATGATTCATTCACGTCGTTTGGGCTTAAAAACAGCAAAATATACGGCAGCCGACCGCGGCAGACGTGTTCAATCTCAAACCGCGGCCAAAGTAAACACCGTTGTCAAACTTTTATGTGCTCGTTACGCAAAATAACCGCTTTTTTCACTGTGACTTTTTACAATACGTTGTAATAAGTGTAAAGATGCGTGTAAATCTAAATATTGTAACCGAAAACCTCGTTTTGATTCAATTCCGATATTAAGTAGAGTAATATATTGCCATTAAATTTTTTTGGTTATTTTCTTACAATTGTAAGACAAAGTGAAGCGTTATTGTGATATGAGAGTAGTTAATTTAACGCGTCTTCGTATGCGCGGAAATTAAAAAAAGAAAAACTATTATAAGTAAGTAGATTCTGTGTTCTTCCAGACTATGTTCTACATCTTTGCAAAATTCCATCGATATCCGTTAATACGTTTTGCAGATACGGAGTAACAAACTCCAATCATTAGTAAGATGTAACAAAAGGGGTTTTAAAAAAATATTTATAAACAAGTTTTAGTGTAATCTGCATTGTCTATGGTCAGGGATTTCGATTGGAACTCGGTATACGTTTTGAAGTAATTTTCCACTAAAGGTCATCCTACGTAATTACTTTCCCAAAGAGCACTTTTCATAATTATTAATCTTTTTAAGTATGGTATGCAAACGTTAGTTCTGGACGACCTTCGCCTTTAACGGCATTTTTATGTCTATTATCTAGTCGATAGTAAATTTATAGGATTCGTCATAAACTGGGATATAAGTGTTAATGGTTGTCTAGGATAACGGTTAACGGAATTGATTTTTTTTATTTGTCTGTGGTATGTAAAAAGAACGTTACACTGAGTACCTTTTTTATTTTTATTTTTTTTCGAATATTAAAAAGTGTTTCCATTTAAAATTAATGGCCATATTTAAAATATGTTTCCGACCGTAGTTTTTTTTAAATTCATTTACATGTGTGAATCTACATATGTTTTGTAACAAGATGTCGGATCATTCACACTTCGAGTTGCGTCTGATTCTGGAAACAATGGAATTTTAATATTGCCGGAACGTGACCGCTAGCGAGCAACGAAGTGTTATTTAAATGTTCTATATTTTATCTGAAACGTTTTTTTTTCTATGCAATCTTTTTTAAATTGTGGTCTTTTTTAAAATAGTATTCTCGTAGACGTCTAGGAACATAGTATTCGACCAATATTAAAAATTAAAAAAAAATGAGGTATATCATTTGCTGGCGACACTCAGCCACTAAAGTATTTTAATAATAGGTGTTTCAATGATTTTCAATTTAAAACGAAAAGTTTGACAATTTTCGACCTTACGAAAAATGCTTAATAAACATGAAAGCTGTGATACTTATTTTATCAAATACGAATTTCAATTTCCTAAAATACGAAATGCTTACTTTTATATTCAGCAAAGTTTGGCGCGAGAATAACAAATACAGGCTAATTTACATGTTTGTAGAGCTGGCAGGGACGGTGCGGGGGGAGGGGAGTACATGAATTATGTAGCGGTTGGCCACACTGAAACTTTGCGATTGAAAATTATCGCATTCATTCTCGATTATTTTTTTTGAGTGGTTTATAAATAATAACAAATTTTACGTAAAGTAATTGGTTATGATCCTTTAGTACTAGTAAATACATTAATAATTACTAAAAAAAAAATAATCGACATCACAGAGGACCAAAGAGCTGGCAGCTACCACGGTCAAAGAATTAGTTTAGCTGTCCAAAGGGGGAACGCTGCCAGTATCTTCGGGACCTTGCCTAAAGGGACTCCTTTAAATAACATATTTTAGTAAATTATTCGTTTTTTAATATTTTATTTTACATAGATTTAAGACTGTATGTAGTTATAGAAATAAAAATGTATAATAAATTTAATTTAGTATTACTAAAACGAAGTCGCGATGTCTATAAAATAATTCGTCTCATTTTTAATACAACATAGTAAATATAAATACGGGTCATGAAACAGTTTTGAAATCTTTGTAAAAGATTTTCTAATTCTATATTTTATGTGTTGTATTTGAATTTAAGTAAAAGATCGTATACTACAAGGATACTGATAACTGAAAGCGTCCCATTTGTATTAATTCCATACATTAGAGGGTGACCCTCTGACCTACTTTGACCTCGGCATACCCTGGACATCATTTTGTATTCACACTTTCACGTGAAATTCGATAGAATTGATGTCCTTACTAAAAGTAATAAAATTCACTGAGCCTTTAATCTTGAAAGTTCCTTTTCCTGGAGTTTATAATCAGAATATTATTAAAATACTAGCTGTCGCCCGCGACACCGTCCCCACGGAATAAAAAAAATAAGTAACCTATGTATTTTCTCCATCTGATCCAAATTTCTCTACAGTTTTGTATTTGTTAGCAAGCTATAGATTTAGAGCGTATACTTTTAGCTACATTTTTATTTAGATCCATTAAAAGAAGTCGTATAAATGATGTCACGTGCACTCATGCTATTTAATTGGCTTTACGTTTACAGCAGCAATAACACGTTAGGGGTGTGTCGAGCTACGTGTTGACGGGGGTTGCAAAATACATGTTAAATCTCACATGAAACGTTTACAATATAGAACTGACTTGACAGAGTATTATATTAAATAATGTCATTTAACACCGACGGAAATTGACGGATAGTCCGTGAAAAAGTCTGTGTCTGCTTCTTCTGGGTAGTCACTGAAATGGCTGGACCGATTTTGACGGGAAAGTAGCTGAAGTATGCGCAAAAATTTTACAGGCTACTTTTCTTAATGCTGCTTTAATAAAGACGCGGGTCATCACTAGTTTTGTAACGTGTAGCACTTTTCCACCGGCGTAGAAGTGGCTCAGGTGCTTGGCGTAGCGTGATAAATAAATAAGATATTAATTTCTGTATAATTATAAATGTTACAGAAATTTATATCTATCATGTTTCTGTTCGTATGTTTTACTTTACTACACCATCTGAAAAGCTTTTAAGCGAATTAACCTCAAAAGAGCCGCAACCAAGTTGGCAACCCGGCCGAGAAAGCCAAAGAGCTGGATAGCCTGGCCACCGCTGGCACTAATGGATTAACTTGCTAATAGGGGTTAAGAGCACTACTAACATTAAATTTAGTCTGCTTTTGTATGTTTATTTTTTTTTGTTTTAATATACATTTCTGCTTAACTTAGTTAACAAGTAACAAATCTAAAGCACTTTTTTGTCAAAATAATTTATAACAAGCAGTATAACTCAGTTATTCTTGCCATTATGTCAAATAGAGGTAGAAAAAACACTGTTTTCTATTTTATTCTTTCCATAGTAAATCACACGTGTTCTATACTTGCCTTCAAAATATAATATTATAGCTTATTTCCATAGAATAAATTTGTGTTCATACTAGCTGTCGCCCGTGAGTTCGTCCGCCTAGAACTAAAAAAATCTTAATAAATTGCCTATACGTTGTTCCAAACTATGTACTACATCTATGCCAAATATCACCGTGATCCGTTAAGGCATTCTGGAGATACAAGCATCTAACCATCCATACATCCATCTAAGCATTCACATTTATAATAATAAATAGTAAGATGTAAATACTAATTTGTTAGTTGCACGTAAAGTGGGGTCATAGGTCGAGGCACGAATTGCCTGAGCTGTACAATTGAAGAGCCAAGGTTCGATAACATCTCGTGTTCATTGTCGACAAAGATTAAGTAAACGTTCGTGATACCACTTTTTATAAATTCTGTGGGATATTCCCATTAAATATATAAGGAATCAACTATTCTTATAAAAAGTGTGCTGTTACAAATGCTACATGTATAAGACTTTCTTAGTACTGTCACGTATGTTATAATACATATGTGATTAACTTTTATTGTTTAAAAACCATTTAAAAGCTACGTTGGCTACTTACTAAATATATATAATAATTATTTGAGTTGTATTTGAATAATTAATTTTCTTTTACTAAAACGTCATATTTGTATACTAAAATTTGAAAAAAATGTATAGAATTTTTCATTTACGCAAAAAGGAATATATTCCTAGACTTAAAATCGTGCCAAAATCATGGTTACCATATGAACGGAGGTCGGCGCGGTCAGGGCCCGACACGATCCTTGGCGACAGGCACGCGGCTAATCTTCAGATAATTGGGCCGGCCTTAAACGTATCCTATCTCATCATACAGATAAAAAGATTAAAGAAAAAAAGATAAGGAAACAGCTACTGTTGACAAAAGAAATCTGTTTAAAACCAAAATCAAATATCTTTATAATGTACTTAAGATTTAATATTATTTCTTCTTTTCTAGGTTTTTGAATATGGGCAACTGCTGAACTGTGGTGCGAAGGATTGAGGCGCGGCACTAAACTCACCCTTACACGATGACCAAAAAGTTCGAATTCAACTGGCAGATCCCCGTCCCGGAACCCCTGCTGCAGGTGAGCTAATTTCACCATGTTGTAATTTTTTAAAGATAAAGAGAGTTGTTTTGTACGAATGTGTCGATACTAAGCGTAAGATACTACAACCTCTAAGTACTATAGATAAAGGCAGTCCAATTCGGATGGATGGATCTATGTTTGTTATGAGGTATCTCCAGAAAAACTAATCGAATCTGGATGATATTTAGCAAAGATGTAGAACATAGCCTGGAAGAACACATATTCTACTTATTAAGATTTCTTTAATCCCGCGAGGACGAAGTCGCGAGAGACAAATAGTGTTTTATATTTTCTCCAGTATAATTGGCTCGCGGGTACAAAGTGGGACACGGATTAAGAGGCTCGTGTTAATCCAACATGATATGTTAATTAGGGTTGCCTCGCGGTTACGTTATTATCTTGTAAACTGAACACCTTTTCGTTGAGTTAGTATGAACCTTTAATAACCTTGTTAAATTTATACAATTTGAATATGTAAAATCTAATCAAAAAACGCAGTATATAACACAATTATTTCTTTTCAAATTATTATTGACACAAAAATGCTGTCTGAAACATTTTAAAGATTTATTTGTCAATTTTTAAACGGCAATTTTTTATTTTCCGATTGCTAAGAGTCTTGGAGAAATCTCTTAGAGTTGGTCTCAGAAACTCACAGTCAGTCAGTTGTTGTAATTTTTATATACAATGTCAGATAAAGAGAACGGAAACTGTTAATATAATCAATTGTTATTAACGAGTTTACAATGTTTTATGGTTATTCGTATTTCATTAGCGTCGTGAGAAGTTACGGTTACATTTTGAGCAATCTTACTTCTCACTAATATTATAAATGCGAATGTTTAGATGAATGGATGTTTGTTTGGATATTATCTCCAGAACAGTAGTAGTAACAGTGTAGAACATAGTCTATAAGAACACATAGGTTACTAAGTTTTTAATTACGCGCGGACGGAGTCGCGGGCGACAGTTAGTAATGCTGTAATAAAATGTTGCACTATTTTTTTTTAATAATGACTATACATAAAACGAAATTGTACAATGTAGACCTCATGGCATTTTAAGATATCTTGTACAAATAACTGTTGAGAGAGTGTGCTTATTGCAACATTTTAGTTAAAGCCAAAATTTCTAGACTTTATAATATTACTTCGTATTTCTACCAAGTTTATAATAATAGACAATTTCATAAGTAAAATATTCTAAAAAGTTCTAAAAGTTTTATAACTTTCATAAGGCAAAGATTAAACAAACATGAAACGACTCGAGCGTGTTTAACTTTCCTTCATATAAATACTTTTTAGCTCACATTGTTCGAGAATATTCTTCGTAAGAGTTTCCTTCAATACGAACATAAGTAGTTAGCTATATTTAATAAAGTTTGAATATTGATCTTAAAACATTTCGTTTTGCGCTTAACGTAATTACAATCAATACTTCTGTCTGTCCCATTTCGAATCTTAACTTTTAATGGTGAAGATTTTCTTATTTATATGCATTTTATTTAATTTTGTACAGCTTTAAGAATAACGCTAATAAATAAATGAAACAAAATTAAGTTTCATTCTGCCTACCCATCTATATCATAGGAGTGAGTATGTATGTTAAATGAGTTAAAGAAAATTTAACAATTAATGTACAGTCAGACACAAATATTTAAACATTCGTCATTCAAAAATACGTAAGCACGTCTTTGCCAATATCAAGCATGTATTCATAGTCAGAAGTATAACGAAGGATACGTGCATACATATTTTAAAACTGAAGGCGTATACACATTTCTAAAGCTTTATAATGCATACATATTTATGGAGCTGACTGTACTATCAACTTATTTATCTACGCCCAACTTCATTAGGAATTGCTTTCATAGCGTTCCGAGATAGAACAATAGGACAATCATCGCTAGAGATAGCTTTTGTTTACTTAAAATAGCTTTTAGCTCACAATTACAATATCCTGAGGAATAATGTTACTTTAGGACAACTATATTCAAATCAAATTAACAATAAATAGAATTGTAATGGTTTGTTGACCCATGATATGTTTATTAATTCAACTCACAATCAAACACTTACCTTACCTTAACAAATAGTACTAAATACTTAACTCTTTTGGTCGTACCGTTTTAAAAGTATTACAATATAATATACATAACTAATCGTGGGTTTCTGAAACCATATACCCCGTTTAAAACATACTGTTATCTCTATTTAGTCAAAGATAATGACGGGGATGACGATATGTTTTATACACAGATTTTGGCCTCAGAAACCTACGTCTATTCAGTGTATTTGTTCAATAAACCATGTCAATTATATTGGAATTTTCTAATTTATTAAACTCAAAAGATATTATCACATACATATTACATTTCTGTTTCTGTTAGCGATAACGATTTTCAGTGCTGAGAAATTTACGCTCCATAGCTTTCTTTCCTCCGACCCTAATTGTATCCGACAGCACCTTTATGACGGTAACATAGAACTGTTCCATATGTAGTTGCTAAGTGATCATTGATCTTCTTATCTTGCGCATGATTAGTTTTAAAACAAAGAGTTTCTTACTCACAGAGCGGACAAATTAAAACAGGAAAGAGGACATTGCTTCTATAAACTATCAGGCGCTGGTAAAAACATGTTTATTTTAGAGTTTCTTGCCATTTAAATAAAAATAGTTATAACTGAAACCTCTTTGAATCTCGTTTACTAAATCTTAAAGTATACGTTGCGCGTGTTTTATGTCGATTTACGTCTTTCAATAATCATAGAGAAACAATAAGAAGCACTTAGTAAAGGCATCATCAGCTAACTATACGTCCCCACTGAGGATCTCGGAGCCTACCCTAAGTTAGGGGTGATTAGCCATAGTCAACCACGCTGGCCAAGTGCGGGTTGGTTGACTTCACACATATCTGAATTTCTTCTCAGATGTGCAGGTTGCATCTCGATGTTTTCCTTCACCGTAAGAACGTCGGATAAATATACATATGTAAATCAGAAATAGAAAAACACATTACATGGCGGGATTCGAACCCAGGACCTGTAGATTGCAAGCTAAGTGTTTGACTCCTGAGCCACCGACGCTCTAACTTAGTAAAGTATTGAAATACTATTGCAGAGTTTGGCTGCAACTCAAGAATGCTATAATATACGTCGAAGTTTGAAACACGACACGTTTCGTGAACATTCAAAGCTACAGTAAAATATTGTTATCGATCTTACGATATTATATAGCGATTTTACTATGGGATAGATGTAGATTCAAACTCTTAACCAAATACTACTAAACTTTACACCTTTACTCTGCGTTCTAATTTTGACTTGATTTATATTTGTGAAGAAATTCAAAGATATGTGTGAAGTCAATCACCCTGTAGTTAGCCATTGTGGTTGACTGTGAACTAGTCACGCCTAACTTAGGATAGGCTCCGAGAATCTCAGTGACGACGTATTGTGAGCTGAGGATGACGTGTGACTTTTTGTATGAAAGTCCAATCACCAGGCATAATCATATAATAATAATAATAATTTATTTATATAGATCCATATTTTTATTCTTATCCTAGGGTTAGTAAAGGTTTTACTAATGTTAGTAGTCATAAGTCGGTGGCGCTGAGTGTTGCGATACATGCCTTTGCAAACAATATTATAGTCTATATTTCACTCTATTAACGCCTAAAGCAACCTATTTCCCTCTTATCCTATGTTTAAGATATACCGTGGATTTCCACTACAGAAATACGTGTACAAAAAGGTTACAAATAATAATATTTTTGTAGTTATTGGGTATTGTAAATTCATTGATTCTTCATCTTGTGCAGGGCGCGGTATTCGACCGGTGGACGGAGGAGAAGGATAACACGGAACTTGAACAGAACTGTCTCTTCAAGGTCGACGAGTATGGCTTCTTTATCTACTGGAAGAGTGAAGGCAAGGTGAGCATAACCATAGATTAGGGCTGTTAAATTTTAAAATACGTAGAAATTCACTATGTAAAACAAGGGAACTCGGATCATATCTGAAGAGGTGGTAACGCTAGTAATATTCATAACAGAGACTGCCGAATGTCTATCAAAAAGTAGAGAAATCAGAATCCAAGACACATTTTGGTTCAATGTTTGAATCCTATCGCTAAATAACCAACTGAGTGAAGTAACTTCAATCGATTTGTAAATGTACTGAAAATTCCTTTTGAATTTCATTTAGTGAACCATTTCAATATATTTTCTAAATCTTTGCTCCTTATAGGACAAAGGATTAACAAACATGTATGAATTCTATGCGAGTTTTAGCTTCATACAAATTCCTTTGATCCCCATACAAAGCGTATCAAAAGCCGAGCGGCTAAGGCACTTGTTTGCTTTCAATTATTTGCCTTACAAAGGACATTTTTGATCAGATGCTTTACGTTATTTAACTTTGTATAACTTTGAAATATTTCTACTTTATTAGAACTTTTATCTTTTTAGTATTATACTATATTTTTATAATATTATCTTATTATTGTTTTACTTTTATCGTTTATTCATAACGCAGTGTTACCCTTTATATTTACATGAAATAAATCGGGTACATCGAAAGTTTTGCGTCGACTATACAAAGACAAAATTTGAAAGATAAAAAAATGTACAGTAAACATATTATTTTGTACAAATATAACGACTGTGGGAAGCTGCGATAACATATTTTAAAACAATTCATTCGAAAATCCACGTGTATTCCGCATATAAAACCATTCGCAATTCGCAAGTCATGAATAACTTTGCTCTCAACTGGGAAATGCATTGACTGCAAACATAGCTTGCATCGAACACGATAAATTATTTCTATTTTCATCTTTACAGTAGTGGGCATACATTCTTTGTGATCATTTTTTTTATTATAAAATGGCAAACAAGCCAGTAGTCACCTAAACTCACCAAAAGAGTAAATCCGCATTTGCTATACCAAATGAAGACCACGGCAATGTAACGAGATATCATTTACAAAAATATAAAAAAAGAAATGAAAAAAACTTCTTTTTGAATTCTGCTATAAGAAATAGAGAGTTTAATAAATCACGGCGATCTTCTTCGGTGATTTCGGCAAAAACAAACGAATTTGTACAAATCGATCCATTCACATCCGAAGTTATGTATTATTATATAAATAGTATGTAAATTATAAAGAGCAGAGTGTTTCGAACTTAAAATTAAATTATCAAGTTGAGATATAACTTGATGTGACCTTTACCGACATTCCCTTGAATATTATTAATTAATAATTCCTTCAATTAGATTTACATTTCAGTAACTAAATATCCAACGAACTTAATACATAATAATATATAAATTAAGGTAATTAATTAGCATTCTAATCTTAATATTAATCTTAACATTATAAGTCTATTAAAGATTGTATATAACAGTTTCCAGTGTCTATACAATATCCTTTTTAATCTCTTTGAAAAATATCGATATCAAGGTGTATTAATCGATTATTTTAAAAATGGAATGTCACAGTTAAAGCCACACTCCCGGGAGAAAACAATATGACGTCATCATGTCACTACAACAATTTAACACTATTTCCGTAACATTTCAGACTCGCTTAAGGCGTTTTAAATACATAATAACACTAATTTAACAAAACAGGATTAATTAAAAAATTAAAGACGATGTCAACACGACACTTAAGTCTTTCACAAATTAGAAACGTCTCATTTAAGGAAGCAATTAATTTCTAGTATGATAATTTGCAGATGTTAAACGACATTTAAAATAAAAAATAACTGACAATATGACCACAGATTTATTTACGTAATTATAAATCGGCAAACGCATGACATGAAGACATTCCCATTCTCGAATGTCAACATTTCAACAAAATTGCATCGTTAACTTGAACTGAAACACATAAAGTTTACGAAAGACCGGGAACAATTCTACTAAGCTTGGTTTAACGACGTAACGCAGGTGCGGCCCGAATTAAAGCCACTATAAAAAGCACTTGATGACCCTTCAGTTAATTCCAACATAGCTATAGCCATTGTCACGTTTTACACTTAATGAGGGTCGATGTACTTGGTTTTTACCACCAAAAGTTACCTCAAAATCTTATCCTAAATCTTATAGTTGACCTACTCTTATGTGTAACCAAATACTGTCACTATTTTCCAAGTTATCTCTTCCGTAACCTTTTATGCTGGAAAACTAAACTATTTTTATTTTAGCCGGTTTTGTGGCAAGTAAAATGATATTGCTACGTTTTAGTGGTTTCATTAGTTGGAAAAATGTATATCGTCGAAGTTTTTTTAACATAAAATGTACCAATATTATACAATGTACTTGTAATTCGATTGAATCTTCACTTAACCTTGGTAGTTGATGTAAAGAGCCTATCTCTCCTGATTCTGAAGTCTTACAAGAGCCTTTTGATCTTCAAGCACCATAAAGAGCGTGGGTCGAACCTTTACAATAAGAGGAGAATTTGCAGATTCCAATTTTTGTAGTATCCTTAAGAAGCCTTGAAAAATATTATATAATGTTTATGATTACTTTATACAATGTTTCTTGATGAAATATAAATCTCAAATACGTTAACACATCTCTCAAGATTATTCGTTACTTCAATCAGTACGAATTTAAAATAAATCTGTTTATTCCTTTCATTAAATCTATTAATGTAATATAAATTCAATCATATTAATTTTTTTTATATCATAAGGTGGCAAACGAGCGAGCGGCCACCTGAAATCGCTGAAATAGCGAAGTGACCGTTGCCTATAGACATACGCAATTGCATATGCGTTGCCTACCTTTAATCGACGGAGAAGAGGACGCACAGAAAAAAAAATTCCTTCCCATGCATCCTCTCATCCGGAGAGTCCACTTCCACTTCCCATCCTTTCCTTATAAGAAAAAGGGTGGGAAGGGAAAGAGGACTAAATTAGGCCTCCGAGACGCACACTCATCAGACGAAACGCAGAATAGCTTCCACTTGACGCCTGTCTTCTGTGTGGTCGTGGTATTTCACCGGGCGAGCCGGGACAATTCGTGCGAAGATGTTAAAGCGGGCTCTACCACTGTTAAATTTGATTAAACTCAAATACTGTTTCTGTTTCAATGTGTTACATCAAAGATCCAGTATTCCTTTCATGTCATATAGCGTTCAATATTTGATGTGGGCTTTCATTGGAGGCAATACAAAGCTTTCACAAGTCTTCTGACGTTATCTCGATATGTCTAGCTTGAAGCGGGCCTCGATTGTTGCACATTTCTAGGTCACTTTTGACGTCCACTTGAATCGGAAGTTTTGTGCAATGAGAAAAGCCTTTGTGTTGATATTTATCTCATTATTTACTATTGAAATACGAAGAACAATAAAACAAGAGGACAAGAGTACTGTAAATTTTAGGAAAATGACGTATAAATAGGGCAGTAATGTTTGAATATAAAAACAAAAGAAATTCTTCCTAGGGTCCGACACTTCGAACGCCAGACAAATCCGTCAAATAAGAGCGGAAATTAGTAACAAAATCCTATAAAATAAGACTTTTTCTGTGGATTTCAAAGAACAAAAACCCCATTTAAAACATATTATCGCTGTTTTGTCAAAGATGATATGTTTTATACAGAGATATTGGTCTCAGAAACCAACGGTTTATCACTTTATAGATTGCTTTTAAGTAGATGAAATAAGTTATATAAAGAAAATACTTACAACCCTTTCATTACTCTGTTTATGTTTCCAATGTATACAATATATAGCATAATAAACATTCGTTCCATGTCTTATTTGGAGTGATTTAAAAACGTTGCATTCCGACGCCCACATACTTTGAGCGAACATTTGCAATAGATTCCATTTGATGCATTCCACCATGTTGTATCTGTTAACATTTTCATATCCAGGAAATATACAAGATAACATAAAAAAACACATTGGTGAGTGCAACAGGGTTAACGTACATCCATCTATAATTTTTAAGAAACAACAGTCTTATAAATTCAATTATTAAAAATGTTATTTTAGAAAAATAATCTCTGCTACAGTACAAAAAAATAATAAACAAAAAACAACAAACTGCTTGCAAAAGTTAAGTGCCAATAGCCGAATCCCGCCATAGGACTTTTGTCGTAAACCATATCCTAGCACAAATATAAAGCGTAGTTGGAATTGTACAAGAAATATTAGTAAATTAATAAAAATCTACTTATATTTAAAAAAAAACAAAGATATTAAATTTCGATGAATATAATGAGTTCAATATTAAAGCTTTTCATATCTTTTATATTTCAAAATATTTGCAGCAATATTGTATTCGAGCGCGCAACCACATAGCTAAAGCAAACGCAATTTCCTCCGAAGAACAGATGATTGAAACCGAACGGGAAATGAAAGAGTGGAGACGGGCGCCGGATATTAGTGTATAAAATGTTGCCTAGCAGTTAATAAAGCATTTAATATTAATACTAAAACCTAAGCTAAGTTAAAATATTTAACAAAAAGAAAATAACGATTGAATCTTTAGGAATTTACTTAAGCTTTACTCCCGCACTCACAGTTGTAATCTTCGGTGCATACTTATCTTTAGTGACCATTTGTATAGTTTTAAACAAATATTTTTATTTTGTTTGCAGGATGGTGACGTAATCGAACTTTGTCAGGTCAGCGACGTGAGATCTGGGGGAGTGCCGAAGGTATTATAAATTTAATTATTGTATTATATTTTACACTTAATGTACAACTTACGGACATGATTAGCTCACTATACATCCCCACTGAACAGCTCGGTGCCTACCCTAAATTAGGGGATGACTAAGCCATAGTCAACGCTGGCCCAGTGCGGGTTGACTTCACATATATCTTTGAATTTCTCCTCAGATATGTGCAGGTTGCATCACGATTTCCTTCAGTGTAAGAACGTTGGATAAATATACGAACATATGTAAATACAAAAAAAAACACATTGGTACGTGGCTGGATTCGAACTCAGGACCTGCAGATTACAAATTAAATCCTTAACCCCTAAGCCACCGACGTTCTACTGGATTTAATGGTTTAATAATAATTACACTTAGAAGGCATAACTGGAAAAAGTCTGAAAGGTTTTGTTACAATAGTTATTTTTATGACATTAAAATATATATTATATAGCATTAAATTTAACTGTAATCCAATCTTAATCATAATTAAAACGCTGTAAAACCAATTAGTCCGATTGTCGATATCAAAGAATTTGCCAAAAGCAATTTGCGAACGGCGTATTGGATTGATATTTGCCGAATATTTCGTAAGCGTGACGTCACGGGTCCAATATGGCCGCCATATGACGTAGAATAATTACATTTACATTGGTAATGGTTACACACGGATTGAAATAGAAACGTTATATCTTATTTGTTTATTCAGTAAGAACGATCACCAATCACTTTTTGCCTTCCGAATTAAAGCTTTTAAACATTGACTAATGGCTTTATATTTGATGGAATATTTTATATAAAAACTCCTTGGCCTATTTTTTATTAAATTACATAGATATTTGACCTTTTCTTTCCAGCCTGAATCAAAATTGAGTACGAATCTTTTCAACAAACACGGAGAGACGTTAGAAGATAAGTCGTTGACAATCTGCAGTGGCACAGATTATATTAATATTAACTACCAGCATGTTGTATGTCCTGATGCTGCCACGGCAAAGGTAACATCTAGCTATTTCTTAAATATAAATCAATTTTACTCAGATATAAAAAAAGGATTTTTTCTGCAATTTTATAAAAAATATTTTAAATTTAGTAGTCAGTTTCTTTTAAAAAATGTAGTATAAATGTTATCTACAATTGTTGTTATTTTGCTAAATAAAGGTATGGCTTGATGGCCTAAGGAAAATCACCCACAATGTGAAAGCGAACAACGTGTGCCCAATGACATGCCTCAAGAAACAGTAAGTGGCATGCATGACTTAAGCTGCATGCATACGCATGGCAAGCGCCGACCTGCATGGCTTCAGCGCCGCATGCATGCGCATAACATTCGTCCAGCTTTCCTATTACTTAAGCATGGCTTTTATGCTGATAAGTTTCGTTTTTGCAGACACTTAATAATCTGCTTTTGTCACTATTTGAAAGCTTTATTTACTAAAATAAATTACTATTTTGAACATTTAAGACTTATATCTTTATAAGTTTTTTACGTGATGTTAAGCTGCATGTACTGCTTCTTTATGTTTTTTTTATTTATTTTATAACAAGGTATGGAAGGAGGGACTTCGGGCTATTACGCATAACAACAAAATCAACAATGTATGTCCGAGAACTAACCTTATGAAGCAGTACGTACTTTATTTATATCAAGATTTTATTATTTGTTAGCTTAGTAACTATTATTTTTGCTAATTCCTTAGACATTAATTCTTGCGTGTCCTGTCTTATCCTTTCCTCTACCTTTGCTTAGTGTCGTTTACTGGTAATTTCCTTAGCGTAGATGATACTTAATCTACACTTACTCCCGACATCTCTTCCTTACAAGGCAGAAATCTTAAAATCATTTGTCCGTCTGTACCATAACATCTAATAAAAAGTAAATAAGTTAAATATAAACATACGAGTAACATATAATTGGTAGAAAAATAATATTTTAAACTTCACTCCTTTATCCCAAGTAAAGAAGTTCAATAACCCATAATAGAATTGAAATGTTTACGATTCCGCTTTGCAAGCGTCAATTTAATCCTGCAAGGTGTATTGTTAGAACAATTGGATTACAGTCTAGCTCGCTAAAACCTCTTTTCCACTGAGCTACGAACCGCGCGACTTGTTACGCGCGGTATTAGGAAAGACGGTGCTGCGCGAATAAGAGCCTCTTTCTACTTAGCAGCTAGTTGCACGAATCTAGCGGCAGATGACAGTCATTTTGTCAATTGCAGCCACACAAATAAATAAAATAATACAAAGGGCAAAACTCACAGACACACAATTCGCGTGGTCGCGATAAAATAGCAATTTCGCGCGTATAAATTTGACTAAGTGGAAAAGGGGTTTTAAGACAAAATATTTAGCGACGCTGGGGTTTATTAAATTACTCTGGTTACGGAGCCGGGTCGTTTGTTTCCATTTAACTCTAACTGGATTGAAAAGAATAGCTTACTTAGGTAATTGGATTGAAATCTATCTTTTTTTGCTATTTGTTGTACGTTTTAAGAGTTTTAACAGAAAAGGTGAATGGCCACAACTATTTATCGATAAGCCTGTACTTTACTTATACTATAATTACGAATATTTGAATAGATGGATGGATGGATGTTTGTTAGAAGGTATCTCCAGAATAGCTGGAAGAATATAGCTTGGAAAAATACATAGGCTACTAATATTTTTTTTTCCGCGCGGATGGAGTCGCGGTCGACAGCTAGTTTTGCATAAAAATTTAAGTACCTTGATTTTCATAAATTATACGATTTCTTGGAAAATTTCTTGAAAAGTTTTACATACTTGTAAATTATTAAAATAGCACGGAATAATTTTATCAAGTTAAAACATAGAAAATTTTCTTTGGTATACAAAGAAAACAAAATCATAGATGTTCATTATTAAAGAAAACATTGTTGAAATACAAAAACAATAAGGGTCGAAACACAGACTGCTTCAAGTTTAATAAAGCCTGCTCAAGCGATCGGTAGCAATAGCTTGCAGCTATCCGTGTACAGGGTCCCTTAATTGTTACGTTTTTTGGTCTCCATTGTTTATGACGTAAAACATGTTTGATTATGAACATGAGTTTTATTTAAATTAAGGCCCGCGGGTACAATGTCCCGCACAAATGAATTCTTTAGACACCGTGTTTTGTTTTGTGTAAAGTTGACTGAAATCGCTCGGGGCAACTACTCTTTTGTCCGTTATCGTTTACTTGGTTCTACTTTGTGTTTAGGGTGACAAGGGTTTAACCAAAAAATTAGGATAAGACCGAAAATACAACAATTTGTATGTTAGGTAACTTTAGGGCTATATAGCACGGATTTTCCGCTTTTTGCTTATTTGGGAATACCTTTTTGCCAATTGCCTTCAAACTTTGCTTACTTTATTGGGATTAATATGTTTATTTTAATTAACATTTCAATAATTATGTAAGATGCAATTTAATTGAGTAAAAACCGAATAATACGACATCGGAAAAACGACTTATCGATTACAGTCTGTTATAGTGACTAATTAACGCCGAAGTCTATGACGTCGTTATAACCGGTTTTACAATATTTACATAGTTGGATGCGGCTTTGCTTCTTGACGGATCCGCGCGGCAAGGTTCCAGTAAAAGTGGTGGCCCGTACATTCGCTTCGGGCAAGACGGAAAAGCTGGTCTACCAATGCTTGTCCGAGCTGGGCCTGCCCTCCGGCAAGAACGAGGCTATGGAGAAAGAGGCCTTTACTTTCGACAAGTTCTATGCGTTATACCACAAGATCTGTCCTAGGAACGATATTGAAGAATTGTTTAGATCCATGTAAGTATGTTATTTTTGAAAATACCTAAATACTTTAGGATTCGGTTCATGTGATCTGTTTATAAACAAAAATAAATGTTATTGTTTGAGCAATTTTTGACCGATGGGATGTTTAGAAGGTATCTACAGAACGGCTCAACGGATCTCGCTGAAATTTGGCACTAATTAAGTTTTTTTATTGCTCTCGCATACATCCGCAGCACACAAGGCAAATCAGACCGCATCAATCTGGATCAGTTCGTGAACTTCCTGAACGAGAAGCAACGCGACCCGCGACTCAACGAGATCCTGTACCCGCTGTATGACGACAAGCGCGCGCTGGAGATCATCACCGACTACGAGCAGAACGAGGAGGCCAAGAATGCTAGTCAGTATACAATCTAGCATTTACGTAACTATGACTAGACTTTTATAAGATTCTTCTTTACAGCCCTCCGTACACAAGACAACGTAATTCGTCGAAACTAATATTGTACAGTTGCTTGCATCGTACACACAACGTTGAATCGTTGAGCGAATCGTCTATTCTGTCGGTAGAATTTCTCCACCATTTTGAAAATTGGAGCAACTTTTCTCGCGACTTCTTAAGCAGTCGCCTGGCGACTATAATTGTCGGATTTCGAAGATACGTTGCCTTGTATTGAATTATATTTGTTTTCTTGATATGGTCATTTGTATAAATTACTAGATGCGATATAATATAAATATTTTAATTATTGTTCAGTTTAATAAATCTTTGCTTTTTAATGGAAGTAATTTAAGTTTAAGTGTCTATAATCAAAGCAGCCGTATTAATAATATCGTTGTCTTTATTATTTGAAAGAGAAAGAAAGAGATCACAGTATGCGACAATGTTCGTAGAATGTCTGACAAAGGACGGTCTGATCCGTTACCTGATGTCTGACGAGAACGCGCCAGTGTTCCTGGACCGGCTGGACCAGTACATGGACATGGACCAGCCGCTGGCGCACTACTACATCAACTCCTCGCACAACACCTACCTCTCCGGCCGACAGTTCGGCGGCAAGAGCTCCGTCGAGATGTACCGACAGGTCCTGCTCGCCGGCTGCCGGTAACATTATCTTTACTTATCTATATATAAATATTAATTAAATTTCAGTGTCTGTATGTATCGAGAAAAAAAATGATAATACTTGTATAAACGGAAACCTTCCCTCTTGATGCCCGAAGGCTTATTATAGGCTTTTTCAATTCCACGCTGACGAAGTCGCGGGCGACTACTAGTATGCGAATACAATTCTAGGTAACAGGAGCAACAGGGAAACTTATCCTTTATGCTAGCAGATATCTACAACAAGATATAGTAAGTTTACGCAGTTATGAATGTTTTGTAAGGAGTGAACAGTAAGGGTTAACGTTGTGTAGGTGCGTGGAGCTGGACTGCTGGGACGGCAAGGGCGAGGACGAGGAGCCCATCATCACGCACGGCATGGCGATGTGCACCGACATCCTGTTCCGCGACGTGATCTACGCGCTGCGCGACACCGCCTTCGTCACCTCCGACTGCCCCGTCATCCTCTCCTTCGAGAACCACTGCTGCAAGGCGCAGCAGTACAAGCTCGCCAAGTACTGCGACGAGATCCTCGGAGACCTGCTGCTCAAGGAGCCCCTGCCCGAGCACCCGGTGAGCCGCGACACACGTACATACCTACATACGTCTCACTTTCAAACTCATACCATATCTTTTATACTGACAATTTTCTCTCAGAAACCCACCGTCAAAAGTTTAAATAAAATAAAATCTATTGACACTAGACACCAAACTCAATAACTAATCTTAATCTATTTTTGCTTACCTTAGTTCTTTTTAATCAACATTTTTAAATAATTAACTTCATATTAATAAACCTAATAATCGCGAGGAACATACAAAATAATTAAAATTTTAGATTTATCTCTACTTCCTCAATAGCTATACTAATAACTATCAAATTCAAACGTCTTAAAATCCCTCTATTAATATAAAAAGGCAAAAATCTTTCAGCTGGAGCCAGGTCAGCCGCTCCCGCCACCTTCATCACTGAAGAGGAAGATCATGATCAAGAACAAGCGCCTGAAGCCTGAGGTGGAGAAGCAGGAGCTGGAACTGTTCAGACAGGGACAGTTCGTCATCGAGGATGAGGTCAAAGAGGATGCATCTGCTGTGGTCGTGCCGGAGAAGAAGGTAAATCTTACCGTGGATTTCTGACAGCAATATATCTCGTCTTCCTCAATGTGAGTTATGGTTGTGCAGCCGGAGGAGGTGGTGGCGGAGGCGGCTGCGGGCGGGGAGGAGGCTCCCCCGCCGGTGGCGTACACCGGCTCCACCACCAACGTGCACCCCTGGCTCTCCTCCATGGTCAACTACGCGCAGCCCATCAAGTTCCAGGGCTTCGAGGAGGCTGAGAGTAAATCACTTATAATACTCCATAAAATATCTTCTGTTAAAAATGTACTACGATCTTGGTAAATTCATGCCTTATTTAAGAAACAACATACACACCTGTAACACAGATGGGTAGGCAGAGATGGACATCCTTTTGTCGCGGTGCTGACACACCTCTCTTGCTTCTACATTCATGCATCTACGCTTACACCTCGGTTTCGATTGCTCTTAATACCTTTTTAGAAAGGTTTCATATGAGATTTTCCAAATCTTCCAAGTATTGTATTTTGTATGGTAAAAGCAACAGAAAAACTAATACAGAATAATTTTAACTTACATTTGATTTGGCACACCAAAAACAAGCACACTCTTCTACCTGACGTGCCAACTTAATCCGCAAACTATATATATTTGTATGTATGTAATGTGTGTCTGTATGTTCGCAGAGAAGAACATCTACCACAACATGTCTTCGTTCGCGGAGACGACAGGCATGAACTACCTCAAGTCCCAGGCCATTGACTTTGTCAACTATAACAAGCGACAGATGTCTCGCATCTACCCCAAGGGCACGCGAGCTGACTCCTCCAACTACATGCCTCAGGTGCTTATTCTCTATTTTATTTACTTATAATTAAATTTAAAAAACGACTAATTAATACGTATAGTCTGTCTCAAATATGTTGGTGGCTCAAGGTCATCAGCGCGCTGTACAATACCTCCTCTTGTTGCTGTACGCCCCGCTATACCTTACACTGTTTTCTAGCGACTCGTGCGATGTTCCGAGCTGCCAATAAATTTGAAAACCTATATCTTTGTATGTATGTAAGAAGACATATACACAGCGCGGAGGGAGTAGCAGACAGCTAGTCCTGATATAACTGATAAAGTAATGGTTTCATGTTGTGCAGGTGTTCTGGAACGCGGGGTGCCAGATGGTGTCGCTGAACTTCCAGACGTCGGACCTGCCGATGCAGCTGAACCAGGGCAAGTTCGAGTACAACGGGAACTGCGGCTACCTGCTCAAGCCGGACTTCATGCGCCGCGCCGACCGCAGCTTCGACCCCTTCGCTGATGCCCCTGTGGACGGTGTCATCGCCGCCCAGTGCTCCGTGCAGGTCGGGACTGACACCCTTCACCACTTCCTTTCACATTTAGACTCACGTCTAACTAAAGTGAACTTAACTGAAACTAAAGTGGTATATCTAACAGGGTCCCTCTGTCGATGCCAAAAAAAGTACCAAAATAACTTTGTCAGACTGTAGCTACAGGCCGACAAGGATATCTGACTCGGTGGGCATAAGTCAAACTAAATTATTATATGATAGCTCACTAGCGCCCTCCTGTAAATTTAAAAATGTCCCTTTTCGTACTGTAACTCTCACGCCCTGTTTTTATATTATTCTTTTCTATGACTACATAAGTTTTATGTATTTAATGATAGAACTAACAGCATATTGCATCGGGCCAAATAAGTTTATCGTGCTTGAGGACTGTTTTCCTTCACAATTTTACGTTTAACATGTGTGTGTGTGTGTAGGTGATAGCGGGCCAGTTCCTGTCAGACAAGAAGGTGGGCACGTACGTGGAGGTGGACATGTACGGCCTGCCCTCCGACACCATCAGGAAGGAGTTCCGCACGCGCATGGTGCCCGCCAACGGTCTCAACCCTGTCTACAATGAGGAACCCTTCCTCTTCCGGAAGGTCAGCTTGAGCAGAGATACTAGTGGTCGCCCTGGCTCCGTCCATGCGGAATTAATAAAACAACATAATAAGTTGATTTTAGATCATGTCCTATATATATGAATTTCTTCGAGATCCGCTCAGCCGGTCTGGAGATACCCTCAAACAAACATCCATCTAAACATTCCCATTTATAATATAATATAAGTAAGATAGGGCCAGGCAGACCCCTCGGCGTTAACTACCCTTAATTGCTGTGGATCCAGTATTTCAGCAGCGAGAAATAGACCGACAAGGTTATCTGTCAAAGAAAATTATGACAGCTCACTAGCGCCCTCCTGTCAATGTCAAAGTCATAAGAGAATAATATAGTCTGTATAAAGAGTTAAGGCAAGCTTTTGGTGTGAATATAAGGTATTGAGGAGTGTCATATCAGTGCTTGGTGTGTGTCAGGTGGTGCTGCCGGACCTGGCGGTGCTGAGGTTCGGGGTGTACGACGAGAGCGGCAAGCTGCTGGGCCAGCGCATCCTGCCGCTGGACGGGCTGCAGGCGGGCTACCGGCACATCTCCCTGCGCACCGAGGCCAACTTCCCCATGTCTCTGCCCATGCTCTTCGCCAACATCGAGCTCAAGATATACGTACCTGATGGCTTTGAAGGTAATACTTCCTCTGACAACACACCAACACGACAATAAGCAAAAAACTCAGCCCTATTAATTATAGTAATTCAGTCGCACCGCTATTAGCTGGAATCTTTGTCCGATCTCGACGGACGACCGCCATATGCCAGAAACTGGGGTTAGAGAGAAACCTTTATAAGGGAAAAAATATCACGCTCTCTTGAACTCTTGCTTATCAGGATTCAATTGTAATTTCCGTAAATTTTCCTTTAAGTAGTTTTTTTCACGTTATTTATGAGTTTTAGAATATTTAAAAAAATATCAACAACAAAAATTAACTTGTATTTAAACTCCTACTGCAATTTGAGTAAAAACAGCGAAGGTTACATGAAAATGTGTTTGTACGTGTGCAGACTTCATGGCGGCGCTGTCAGACCCGCGCGCCTTCATGGGCGCGGCCAAGGAGCGCACTGACAACATGAAAGCCATGGGCATCGAGGAGAGCGCCCCGGAGAAGAAGGTCACCATCGAGGAGAAGAAGGAAGGTTATATATATAATATGAAAACAATAAACATTTTGCTCTAGCAATACCAAACATTATGAAAGAGAGTAGGATATATTTTTACTAGCATAAATTTTTCTGTTTAACTCAGATTGGATTCGAACCCACGACCGCTTAATCGGTAGTCCAAACCTTCAATCATTAAGCTTTTCGCGCTACTAATATATCCAAATGTTTCGATAGTAAATACATTAGTTCACTTCACCTGTTCTATTTCCTACTTAGCCACAGATTTAGATTATTTGGCAAAATTCTCGCTGGAGTTTGCTTACGTATGTAACACGAAATCATATTTAATACAACGGTACAAGCGATGTAAGAAAGGAGAGGTTATTTTAAGCCACTTTTAACTTGTGGTCCAAGTTATAAGCGAAAAAAAAATATTTTTTTTTTATTTCTGTCCAAGAAATTTAGTAGCCATTAACCTCTATAAACAAGGAGATTCCTTTATGGAAACTTAACGTAGATTTAGTATCAGAAATGTACGCTAAGGAGCTGTTAAATAACCATTTAACCGACTCTAAGTAACTCTAAGTTCCGCTTTACGTGTTTTCTTTGTATCTTTCTAAGAATATTATTGTTTTATAGTTAGATGTAAGAGAGAGGTGCGGGTAGATGCGGGCTAATTGACGTCAAACGCCCACGCGTTTGCTGAAAGTGTACGCTTCCTAAAATAAACACACCGGACGTTTAGTGTTAGGGAAATGCATAGGAAAATACCAAAATGATGTTATACGTATGATACTGATGGACGCAGATTTTATCATCTCTACAGATAAATTATATAGTTAGGTATAAGTTTTAGGTTTTTTTTTAATACTGTTAAAGATCTAGATCTAGTTAAAGAGCTTTTAAGAATTTCTTTGACAGTTAAAAACATTTTCAAATAGTAATATTAGTTTTTAAAAGTAAAGTTTAGTTTTTATACGTCTGATTTAATTAATTATAAATTTACAGTTAATAATCGATAACAAACAAACATAAATCCTCGCTTATAACATTAGTTAATTTGTAAATAAATATCGCTGTATCTCATCGCTTGTGCCATAAATACACTGGGAAATGTTTTCATGCGGCCGCGCATCATACTGAAGCAGTCGTACCGCGAGCTCTACAGGAAACGTATTCCTGAACTAAATTAATTTTAATTCTTAATAAACAAGTGTTTATATATATTGTTTATAATTATTATAGTAATTTGTGATATCAACATGGATATAAATAGATTTATGTTCAGTTACATGTTCGTTCCGCGATTACTTGATATTAATAGGAAATCAATTAAAGGTAAAATCTTTTATTTCTGTGAATTATTAATATTTTTTTTCATATTATTTTCTTACATCAAAACAACGTAATTTTGATAACAATTTTAACTTCTATAGTTATTTTAATGCGACTAATATTGTATTATCAAAGACTGTGATATTCCTGATTTTATAAACAAATATTTTCTATTTTTTTTTTCAAAGTTACCATCTATGCAATAACCATAGTTGTGTCTTCAATATAAATAGTTTATAGAATTGTTTTTTGAATATCACAGCAACTGTTTGTTACCATGGAACTGTACTACGTGATCCTTGTCTTTGTTTTATCAAAGATACTATGAGGTGATGATATTATATACTAACAAATATGTGAACATTATTTATATCCAACATTTGTTGGCAATTTGCCAAATTATAACTAAACTATTTTGGAATTAAAACGTGACGTTTTATGAATGCTGGTATAATATTAATATTATGAAATGAACTTTGTTCATTGTAAAATTACGATAAAATAGTCCACAAAAAGTGATTGTTTCCGCCCGGGATCGAACCGGGGACCTTGTGCGTGTGAAGCACACGTGATAACCGCTACACTACGGAAACTTACCAACACTAGTTGAAATAATAAATCGAATGATTAACCTTTATTGGTTATTTTTATTGAAAAAAAAACTATTCTCAAAGTTACAAATTGTGAAGTCAACATTTTTTTATTAAATTAATCAAGAAATGTGATTGAGTTAATAAGTTCCAAAGGCATTGAAATTTCGTTTCCTATATGAACAGAGCCGCCGTTAGTATTCGAACCTATAACCGTGGAGTCGCTGCGACAAGAGAAGGGCTTCCTGAAGACTGGACGCAAGCAGCAGAAGGAGCTGGAGACGATGCGCAAACGTCACGCCAAGGAGAAGATGGCGATGCAGAAGCAGCAGTGCGCAGCGCTAGAGAAGATGATTAAAGGAAAGAAGTAAGTCTTTATCTATAATAATTTATTTGTGTATACAACTATTCTACATGTCCAGGTTTAGCCTTAGCTTTTATTTTAAACATGATCCTTTTAAATTACGGTTGTGAAGTCCTCAACTACTGAACAGTGGTTGAAAAAAGTGGCGGAGAAGGGGACAGAATATATTCCCGTTCTATGAGTCATCTCCTGGAAAGAGCTACATCGAGGGAGTGTGTGTAAATGTATTATGTGTGTGGTGCAGCAAGGAGCAGCTGAGCGGCGACGCGGCGTTCCGCACGCTGGTGACGGAGCAGTCGGCGGCCTGGAGCGAGCTGGTGGGCCGTCAGCGCGTCGAGGAGTGGGCCAGCGCCCGCACCCGTCTGCACGAGCAGCGCGACCTGCTGCGCAAGATGATGGAGCAGACCCAGCTCGCCCAGATGAAGCAGCTGGAGGCCAAACACGACAGGTGACGCCATGCCCCCGCACACAGACACGCACACAAACACCATACATTGTGTCCGTACGCAATTCAAGGTCATCATATTGTGGTATGGAGTCTAGATCTTTGTAAGGGACTTTACCTTTTTGTGGAAAGACAGGGTTATTCAAGATTCGTTATTTTATTGCAAAACACAAATACAATCCAATAATTTTTTTTCTTCTTATCTTTGACAGAGAGTTAAAGGACATGAACGCTCGTCAAGCTAAAATCAGCATGGAGACCAGCAAGGAGGTCGCCAACGATAAGACTCTGAAGACCAAGCAGGAGAAAGACCGGAGACTGCGCGAGAAGAAGCAGAACAACACTAAGAAGTTCATGGACGAGAGGAAGGTTAGCCTCGACACAAAATTAACTTTTATGATAAAAACTAGCATATTGCCTCACTTCTCCAGATACAAACTCCGATTTGAACATTTAAATTTTCTTAGTTTTATCAGTATTTTCATTAGTTATGCTATTTTCTTTAAACGTTTCATTTATATTGCAGACTCAGATAATCAAACACACGCGTGAAAAGGAGAAGCTGAAAGGCACCCACGACAAACAACTGGAAGAACTCTCCAAGGACGTAGACAATGTATGGGACTAAATTCTTTATTACTTCTACAAACTGCCACTCATCATAAAAACAAATCTCATTAAAAAATTAAAAAAAAAATATCATTGGAAAATCGTTAAAAGTAAACTAATTACCTCATACATTTTGATGTATTAAAATCTACACAATTTATATTCATGCTTCACTTGCAGCTGATCGAGATGTACAAAATGGAGGAGTCAGAGTTCGAGATGGCGAGCAAGACGGAATTCCTCGCATGAAAATACCCGCACATCGCCCCGCTGCTGCACCAGCTCTCCGGCTAGTGCCGCACAGTGCCGCACAGCGCCGCACAGTGCCGCACAGTGCCGCACAGCGCCGCACAGTGCCGCACAGCGCCGCACAGCGCCGCACAGCGCCGCACAGTGCCGCACAGTGCCGCACAGCGCCGCACAGTGCCGCACAGCGCCGCACAGTGCCGCACAGCGCCGCACAGCGCCGCACAGCGCCGCACAGTGCCGCACAGCGCCGCACAGTGCCACGTAATGCAGAACAGTGTGATACAGTGGTACACAGTGCGGTACAATGCAGTGGTACACAGTGCGGGGCAGTGACACAATGATCTCTAACTAACTATACGTGTTTTAGTGTAAATTAAATTTAACTTCAGCCTGCTTTAAATCTATGAATTCATAAAACTTTTAGTACATATATTTTTCCTACATTTATTAATTGCAAACTTACAAAGAGGAATTTCATTATATTTGAAATATTATTTTATGTTAAATATAATTAAACCCAAGTTTTAAAATACTTAATATTATTAGTTTTAACGCAGGCTGGTAAATATAAATATTAAATATATTACCGCACAGTGCAAACTTACATTTGGCACTGAATAATATTATCTATATATTAGATGAATAAATAAATTCTATATAAATAATGGATTCTTGAATTAAATCAGTAAATTAACTTTGTATGATCTTTACATTTAATATGTATAATAATATAATTTTCCATTATTATGTAGTGCCAAATAATACAAGAAATCGGTCAGTTTTAACTTCCTAAGAGCTAAGAGTTAGCTATATGTTTATTTCAACAGTGGATGCTTCAGTTTGTTACACTATTTACATAACATAGTATATAACATTACTCACGAAATTTTAAATCTTTGACCTTGAATATAATTAAAAAAATAGATCTTAAGATCTCTTTAAGGGAGTCTTCCCTTAGAGTTAATAAAAGTTTTACTTCAACGGTCCTTTAGTGTATTCATGTACTAAAACTATACTAAGCGACGCCCTTAGTGGTTATTTATTGATTTTATAGTGATGTTAGATATGTAATTTGTATAATTATATATATATATATATGTAATTTTGCTGTATTTAATCTACTTTGAAACAATTCAGTTTGAAGTTTCTGTGCACTCACAATAATTTATTTAATAACAAAGACTAAATAATTTTCAAATTGAAACTAATTATTAAAATTACTATATATAACTAATGTACTAAACACTACATATAATATAAATGCATTTTATATATAAAGTTACTTTTTATGTAACAAATTCCATGTAAATCTAATCTTTTAGTGAAATACCTCAAGTAAAGTTAAATAAAATATCCTAAATTTGTTCGAAATAATCACTTACAATAGGAATTGAAAAGTTATTATAAATGTACCAAAAAGTAGTTGATTCACTGATTTTTAAGTTTCCCATAAATTTAATTATAAAGTATGTGTTTTCATATTTTTTAAAATAGTCACGGAAATCCGCGGTGTCCCACTTACAATTGACCAATCAGGTAACAGTTTAAAGCAATAGTCGATATAACAGAAAAATTAAAAATTGCTGCACTCCATTGGTTATTGTTTGCACGTCATCGTGTCAATATGTACGAAACGTCGAATGTCGCTTTTGAGTTGGAACACCGCCAGTTTTCCCGACTGTACCATAAAGTGCCAATGTGTCATTCCAATTCACTAAAACATACTATCTTGTTAGAGGACCAAAATATCGAAAAAAATATTTAATTCAAATCATCTCATATATCTTATATATTAAGTATAAATCAGTTTATTTATATAATTCCAAGTTTCTCATATTTCTAAGTAGTAAATGCAATTCAATTGTAATTCGATTTAAAATCATGATTAATTTCAATCATATAAAATATAAATTTCTATATAACTATTAAATTAAGTAATTAATATAATAATTAAAATTATAAATTCGTATAGATTTTATTTTAGATGCCTAAGTACATAATTAAATTCTAGTCAATTTTATTCATAGGTCTTCATAGTGATATTTAAAAAAAGGAAATTGTATTAATGTTGCCAGTATCCAGTATGTTATCTTTTTAAAGCATCTATATCAAATGTTACCAGAACATTTATATTTATGATTAAATGTTATTTATTCTCATGTTTCTTTGTACTAAAAAATATAGTATTAGGATTTAAATTTAATTAAAAATATTAGTGAGAATATTTTATTAGGTGTTTCGTAATTTTTAATAAAATAAATTCCATTTAATTCACTGCGTGTTGAAATATTTATAATAATGCACTTTTTGGCTTTGATAATATTATTCTTAATATAATACATATAATATATAATTTTTCTAAATTACATAAATAAATATTTATTATGTTAATGAAAACTCTGCAGTTCTATATGCCAGGATAACAGTTAAATAAAACTATAAAAATAATGATTATTACCTATCCCTGTTTACCCCATAAAAATTGAAAGATGGTGTTTTGTTAATTTTAAACGATCTATAATATAATTTTATATGCACTTTGCAACTATTGTTTTCAAGCACTTTATTAAGTTAAATTAAATTTTATTATGTAATTTGTTGTATCTAATCTGTTAGATAAAAAACTAAATGTTCAGCATATATTCTAAATTTTAATATATTAAAAATGATTACATAATGCATACTATGTACTTAATATTTCTTTTAAAATCTAAACTTTCATATTTAAAATATCTTATTCAAACTAAAGGTAATTTTACAATGATATCCATTGTAAACTGATATAAAAGCGGCTAAACAATAATTATATTCTTCCGGTGGGATCGTATTTTTCGCGGACGCGGAAGTGAGCTGGGGGGCAAATAATACCAGTCCCACTCACCCTGATGAAGGGCCCCCGAAGGGCTCGAAACTATTTGGTGCCATCGAACAAATATACGTGAGAGTTTAGCAGTTTTTATAAAAATTTATTATAATTTCTCACGAAAGTTTGAATAATTTGATATCTATTGTGTAGGGAAGATAAAATTATTTTTACGGTCACAAAATATATTGGGCATTAATTTGTTATAAGTATTTTTAGTTAATGTTAATTTTAATTAAGTTACAATTGTTTTCCAAAGATCTATTTATTGTTTAAAAGTACAATAACTAAATAAATACATTTGAATTATTTATATCTTTATTTATTTCACTACATTACCTTATTTACAACTAGTTAAAAAATATTACTTAAAACTTCTAATCTTCTTCCTCTCCTTGTACAAACTTTCGTGTTGAACTGAAAATAAGGAATTTAAAATGATAAAAGTGAACTTGAACTATTAAAAAACCAGAAATTTACATCATTTAGGAATGTTTAAAATACTAAATAGTATAGAAAAGTCCATGTTTAACATAATAGAGCATTTCATAATCATCATCAGCTATACCCCCACCGAGGGGCTCGGAGCCTACCCTAAGTTAAGGGTTATTAAGCCATAGTCAACCGCGCTGACCAAGTGCGGGTTGGTTGACTTTACACATATCTTTAAATTTCTTCTCAGATATGTGCAGGTTGCATCACAATGTTTTCCTTAGCCGTACGAACGTCGGAAAATTGTACATATGTAAATCGGAAATCGAAACACATTGATACATGGCGGGATTCGAACCTAGGACCTGCAGATTGCAAGTCAAGTGGTTGACCACTGAGCCACCGACGCTCCCATATTTATTTTACAATTAAATTGAACAAAATAATGAGAACAATATGATTTATGCAAATAGATGAATTACAAGTGACCATGATCAAGAAATTGTGGAGTAAAAGATTAGCGTGGTTTGGACATGTTATGCTGAGGGATGATGATGATGTAAGCAAAAAAGTAATGAGATTGAATGTGGATGGCTACAAAGGTAGAGGAAGACCAAAAAAAGAATGACTGTGTGAAAGACGACATGCGTAGGGAGGGGGTAGATTGGGATAAGACGGCTGATAGAGATGTATGGAGGAGTAGTACATACTGTGCCGACCCTCAATAGGGAGAAGGGCAAATTGATGATGAAATAGCTGCATTCCAACTATTTGCATAAACCACATCCTAGAGCTTAGATTGAACAGTTTTTACAAGAAATATAATTAAATTTTATATATCTGCAAATTTTACTAATATTTTAAATGCAAATGTTTGGATTGATGGATGTTTGTTTTAAGGTATCTTTAGAACGGCTGAACGGATCTCGGTAAAATTTGGCATACAAATAGAACATAGTCTGGTAGAACACATAGGCTACTAGTTTTTTTTTTAATTCCGCGCAGACGGAGTCGCGCTAAACCACTAGTACTTTATTAAAAAAACATACTATAAGGGTCAAAGCGTAGAAGTTCAAGTTTGTCGCCCAGCCTCTCTCTTCTGGCTGTGAATTGATGCCCCGATACCATACTTTCCATTAATACCATGATGAATCTGAAACAGAAAATTTTAGCTGTTCACAAATTTTTATTTACAACAGTATAATGTAGAAAAACCAAAAAAATTTAGAAATATGTGAATGGTAGAATAAGATACCATGTTACATTAAAAAAGATATTCCAGTGAGGCTAATTATGACAAATTTTAATAAGTTTAACTTATTAATTTTTGATCAAGTGATTTCAAGTTTAAACATCACCTAATCTGGTAGGATATTTCTTAAGCATGACATAACATCGCTCATTTCGTTTACAATAAAGCTTTGCTCATTGTAGTTCTAAGTATGCAATTCATGCAATAGTTACTAATTAACATTATAATATATAAATATACTCACTTGCTTTTAGTTTTCTTTAGTAGAACGTTGGTTAGGAACATTTTGTCGATAAAGTACCTTCTTCGTCCAATGTTCTCGATCTAATCCAGTTACCAAAATTTGTTTTACAAATGTTTATATAAAACGATTTAATACTTATTTATTATTGGCAATTTAATCCCGCATTGCATTCACATTTTCATTCTTTATGAATCAAAATAATCAAATGTTATTTTCACACTTTTTTGCCTATTATTTTATACTCTTTGGTTGGTTTACCAAAGATTAAATAAAATCGTCTATAGACAAAATTCTTATCTTTGACCAACTTTGACA